ATCAATCAATCAAAAGATGAGAAAGTGTCAAAAAATATGAAACCTTAAATATCCGGTACTTGTATGAAATAATCGCCCAATTAAATTGTTCCATCGATCAATAGTCTAAAATTGTATATATGAAAAGCTAAACTTATAAACTCATTGACACAAATTCCCTTGTTAAGGAATATGCACCCTGCATAGCACTGTTGGACAACGACATCAGCGCCTCACTCTGTTTCCTTCTTTTTTATTCCACTATGCTAATCCATAAAAACTCGAGTCCCCAACTACCCACACCCTCATCCGATAGCCACAAACAAAAACAAGCAATGCAACGCAAAGCAATAAATAACAACGCAATAGCAACGCAATAACAACGCAATAGCAACGCAAGGGAGAGAAAGAAAGAAATAGAGAGAGAGAGAGCGAGAGAGTAACCTTATCTTACTTTTCCTTTTCCTTTTCCTACTCAATAATGTTGTTTGCACACATGGGCCCCCGTCAACAAATCCGTTATGGCTCTAACCCTTTCTAATCGATTTACTATGCACAAATGGCTGCATCGTTCGGGTATGAAACAAAATGTCACTAGCTGTCAAGTATGCGATGTATGCATCGTGGAAAGTGAGTCGTTGTTTGCACTTGTGGCCCATTCCTTCTTGAGCAAGATGCATACGACTTGAAGGGTCTTGGAACTTGTTTGAAGTTGTGTGAAAAAAATTTTCGAGTGGCTTCCCGGAATGCACACACATACACACACAACACACACACAACACACACACACACACGCACACACACATTCTCTCTCTCTCTCTTTTGTAAAATGATGTCAATTGATTTTAATAGTCAGTAACGTATAATAGTTAGCAGAGATGTAGATTGTGATTAAGGTTATGAAACCATCAGCACAATATCCGAATAGGACTAAAGACTTAATATGTTTAATATGTTGTGTTATTTAAAGTATATAAAAGCAGAAACAATAGTAATCGATGTACAACAAGATAATATACAGACAATTGATGTCGGGTTTTGCTTGACGCTGTGCATTGAATATCCTGTGAAATGACATGCCATCTTCTTGACATGTTACGGATAAAAAAAAAAAGCGAGACGTATAAACTTATTCAAAGAACGCCTTTTACATATTTCAGCTAAAAATATATAGCGCTTGCTATATGAGGATGGGCTCATTAAGTCCCGTAAATGGTCTGTAACCCGATTATACACTATGTATTTTCGCAATTACGGGCCAGTCGTCCGGTTTTATATTGTGTTTACGTATCCTTTGATGAATCCCAATGGCGCAATTTGTAATGAAAGATCATCTGAATTTATATTTAAAGCAAGATTTCCTCGTGAATAACCTAATTACATAACCAATGACAATCAACATATACATCAATCCGTTCCATCCATTGGTGTGTATTTGAGTTGTTTTTTTTTTTCCCTTTTTTTTTTTTTTGCGAGTCTATTTTGGTATCTAACCCATAACGAAACTAACAATAAATAACATTGTCTGGCCGAGAATAATCCTGTCCTGCCGGTCAAAGCGTATCATTTATTCATTTATTCGGCGATACATATCGACATATATAACATCAGATAACAAATCAGTAGTAGCAAACATCCTCTTTCCCTAATTTATCATAATATACACGGAAATCTTCTATAGCATGCAACACCTGTTCTTTACAGAATTGTTTTCGCACTACCCCCGAAACCCTATTTCAAATGACTCCAATAATATAAACCATTTTCGTAGCCAGGTCTTTCCCTACTGCAGCAGCATGCTCTTTGAGTTCCTTGATTCTTTCTTCATTTCCTTTCAAAGTTGGCTCGTCCTATTAAAAATTCATTTCATTAATCGAGTTTTCACATGAAATTTTCCATAGGTCAGCTCATTGACCAGTGTCCCAACTAACCTTAACGTATAGCTTGACATATTTCATCCCTCTGCTGACATATACCGGTATTTGCGCAATATCATCGTAAGTGAGACTGTCAGCATCAAGCATGCCTGGCGGGGGTTGTTTCTCATCGGCAGTTGTAGTTCCATGAGCGGCAAATGTCACGTATTGATTCTTCTCAAGCTCGGGAATCCACTTCTCGAACGGATGCCATTCCCTTGTTATCTACAACGAAGATGGCAGTTTTGTATTAGGTACGTTAATATTAATGAAACTGCATAACAGATATCGACGAAACATACTGGGTCACACAGATAAGATGGCCTATATTGGCCCTTATAACGCATCTTTGGACAAGAGTGAATGTAATAGCCTACACAAAGAAATTATTATAAGAAACAGTTCTCACGATAGCATTAATACTACCCAGCAAACCATCGTCGCCACGTCGCCATTCGTTCTTACTCACCCATATAGTAGTATTTCAATTCTTCACGACCGTCTTCTCGTAATTCATTACATAATGAAATTTCTCTTAATGCGCTATACTTTCCCAATCCCAAGAAGGAATAATCTGGATCATACATGAAATAGACAGAGGACACAAAGCGGGGTAGTATGTCCAACACTGCAACAGCAACCAACTTGCCGTTTAAATAATAGCATTGATGGTATGAACCATAACCTGGTTCTGTGTTCTTGGGAGAGGGCTCGACCTGATGAAACCGGGACGAGAGATGGAATGTCAATACGACGCAAATTTGTAAAATAAGAGATAGCCGAAACTTACTCTTAACGGGGATTCAACTAGAAACCTTTCATACCCACGCGCAGAGACTTTACTAGGCGGCTCTTTATGTATTATTGTCTGATATTTCTTGAATAGATTAAATTTTTCTTCGGTTACCGAAGATGGCTCCATCACAACCTGCCGCAAATGAAGAATATTAGAATGACCATCCTTGTACATATATACCATCGTAACGACGACCCAAACGTACCTTGAATTGATATTTCCACCCTTCATGTCCCTCCGAGACATGAATTGATTCAGATAGGTTAAACACTTTTTGAGCTTCTTTCTTTGATTTCGACTGTGGACGGTCGTTAACACTATATAGTTTAGTACAAGGTATCAGCATGAGGCCATGACTAGCTAATGCGTCAAGTTATTATAAATTGGTATTGAAGCATACGTTTCACTATCATCATCGGCTCCCGAAGGCACCCAAGTACCTTGCATAAATCGATTAAATTTACCAATTATCTTCCTCTGCGATTTTGATGCCGAAAACTTTGTAGTATCTAACCTATTAAAGGAAAAAGGAATTCGTCAAGATCAAAGTGTAGGGGGGAATGTGGGGAAAAAACGGTTTCAATAAACGCTTACCTTATGGTATATTGCGGACAGCAAGTATCGCGCATATGAGGCTTATACAGATAACGCCCAGACCTGAATCAATCATGCATCAATACCGACTAGTTAAGCAATTGAACAAATAACAAAACCAACCTCCGCCACCCGGCATCAACCAAGTCTTGATAATCCTAATAAACAAAATTCAAATCTGTTGGTACAATGATTCACAAGATACAAAACGAAGGGCACAGACAAGTGTAAATTTCGAAAACGTACATGACACGAAAGAGAATACGCATGCATGCCATAACTGTAAGAGGTATTCGGATTACCACAATACCCACAGCTCGAGTATGCAAAGCCATATGCAGTAACTATAGATTCGCTAGTCGAAGATTTGCTCATGTTGCTTTTCCGTTGTGGTGTTCGTGTTCGTCTTTTTCGTTGTTGCAATCGAGGAATACTATGGAAGCGACAAGCATTTTAACAGAATTCGAAAAATCGTATTCATGCATAGATCGCCGTATTTGTACATACAATCACGGACAATTAATACCCTTAAATGGCGTTCTATCGGGAAGGAGTGAAGCGAAGCGAGCGAAGGCTGTGGTTACTAATAATAAAAGACAGTGGTATTAGTCATGTGATCTCTTGTCAAATCTATAAATAGCACGATATAATCAGGAATTTATGCATGTTACACATAATACATGTTACACGGTGAATATATTTCCGTTTTCACCGAAATTTAAGTTGTCTATCCATACCATAGAAAAGAACCAAGGAGGGGTGACTGTATGAGATTCATTGATAGTCATGTGATTAACAGATTTTCTTTTTTGAGCGATTTATGTTAAAATTGTATTTATTACTAAAAAGTTTGGTAAAGTAGAATTTTGTTTCGCATGTTCACAAATTTCGCGTTTATTATCAATGCTTTTTTCCGATTGACATTGTGTAAAGATTAACGAAGTAGTTATTGGATGTTTTAATTATTATCTCACCATTTATGTACAAAATTGTCGAAAGTATTACGTAGATACGATGTAAGCAGTAATAGTAAATTTGTGGCTTACCGCTGACTTTCTATAATCGCTGCGTTACCTACGTTATGATTTGTAATAAAAATTAGCCTATGTGGTTACACAACAACTGTGACTGTTATATATAGGTGTCATAGTACGGGAAATCAGGTGACTGTTGACCATTGTGACTCTATAGGAGGAAAATCACTATAACTGTATTTCGCTGTGTAACATGTCGGATAATAGCACGGTTTTTAATGTAACTATAACCAATCAGCGTTTCATGTTAACATTTGCTATATCCAACATTTCTTAAAAGTACTGTGTTATTGACATAATACTGATGATTATAATGTGTTCTGTGATTTTGAGATTACGAATTATGACCCCCAATAATCAGGTAATAAAAAAACCCTTTGCATTCAATATAAACAGTCATTTATCACTTAATTCTTTCTTCTCTTCTTTTATTACTATTTATTATTCTTATGTTACAACATCAGTGAAACCATATTAATATATTCACAGCTGTGCTATTTATTACATCATAGTCACCACTCACTTTGTCTAATTATAATGTGCAAATTGGAGATGCATTTGCTTTTGCCAAAGCTGTCACTCAAGTATCTCTAATAATATTAGATCTAATATTCAAAGAAGTCAGGAATACATTTGATTCTAGAGCTTTTGCCAAAGCTTTTGCTCCAGTATATCCAATATTATTTCTACTAACATCCAAAGAAGTCAGGGATACATTAGAATCTAAAGCTTTTGCCAGAGCTTTTGCTCCAGTATCTCCAATACTATTAGAACTAAGATTCAAAAAAGTCAGAGATACATTTGTTTCTAGAGCATTTGCCAAAGTTATTGCACCAACATTTTCAATATTATTTTTACTGATATCCAAAGAAGTCAAAGATGTATTCGACTCTAGAGCAATTGCCAAAGCTGTTGCTCCAGTACCTCCAATATTATTCCTACTAACATCCAAAGAAGTCAGAGATGCATTTGATTTTAGAGCTTTTGCCAAAGCTATTGTTCCAATGTCTCCAACAGCATTTCTACTAACATGCAAGTAAATCAGAGATGTATTTAATTCTAGAGCTTTTGCCAAAGCTGTTGTTCCAGTATCCCCAATATTATTATAGCTAACTCCTAAATATGTCAAACATGTATTTGATTTTAGAGCTTTTGCCAAAGACATTGCTCCATAATGTCCAATAATATTACTATAAATAAACAAGTGAATCAGAGATGTATTTGACTCTAAAGCTTTTGCCAAAGCCATTGCTCCAGCATCTCCAATATTATTTTCACTAACATTCAAAGAAGTCAGAAATACATTTGATTTGAGAGTTTTTGCCAAAGTTGTTGCTCCAGTATCTCCAATATTATTTCTACTAACATCCAAAGAAATCAGAGTAAGAGATGTATTTAATTTTATAGCTTTTGCCAAAGTTGTTGTTCCAGTATCTCCAATATTATTTCTACTAATGTCCAAAGACATCAGAGATGTATTTGATTCTAGAGCTTTTGCCAAAGCTTTTGCTCCAGTATATCCAATATTATTTCTACTAACATCCAAAGAAGTCAGGGATACATTAGAATCTAAAGCTTTTGCCAGAGCTTTTGCTCCAGTATCTCCAATACTATTAGAACTAAGATTCAAAAAAGTCAGAGATACATTTGTTTCTAGAGCATTTGCCAAAGTTATTGCACCAACATTTTCAATATTATTTTTACTGATATCCAAAGAAGTCAAAGATGTATTCGACTCTAGAGCAATTGCCAAAGCTGTTGCTCCAGTACCTCCAATATTATTCCTACTAACATCCAAAGAAGTCAGAGATGCATTTGATTTTAGAGCTTTTGCCAAAGCTATTGTTCCAATGTCTCCAACAGCATTTCTACTAACATGCAAGTAAATCAGAGATGTATTTAATTCTAGAGCTTTTGCCAAAGCTGTTGTTCCAGTATCCCCAATATTATTATAGCTAACTCCTAAACATGTCAAACATGTATTTGATTTTAGAGTTTTTGCCAAAGACATTGCTCCATAATGTCCAATAATATTACTATAAATATACAAGTGAGTCAGAGATGTATTTGATTTTAAAGCTTTTGCTAAAGCCATTGCTCCAGCATCTCCAATATTATTTTTACTAACATTCAAAGAAGTCAGAAATGCATTTGATTTGAGAGTTTTTGCCAAAGTTGTTGCTCCAGTATCTCCAATATTATTTCTACTAATGTCCAAAGAAATCAGAGATGTATTTGATTCTAGAGCTTTTGCCAAAGCTATTGCTTCAGCATCTCTAAAATTATTATTACTGCCAAGATTCAAAGATGTCAAAGGCAAACCTATTTCAAGAACTTTTATCAAAGTTATTGTTTCAATCCGATTATGATGACCACTTAAATCTAATGTTTCATTTAGTGAGCATTGATCTTGATTGTTGTGCACTGTTAACCTGTCAAACCACATTGTTAGATTTTTGTATAGTTTACTATTTTGTTCATTGTCCAATATCTGACTAATAACATTTGATACATTATTGTTACCATTGCTGTATTGAAGCTTGAGTTTTGCAGCTCCTCTTAAACATAAAGCTGCATTATGTGGTTCAATATTCAATAACTTGTTGAAATCATTTAATGCATAATTATACTGTTTAAAATGGAAAAATAGTTCTCCTCTCACTCTCAATGCAGCTGCATCATGTGGTTCAATATCCAATGATTTGCTGAGATCATTTAATGCATAATTATACTGTTTACAATGGAGAAACACTTCTCCTCTCACTCTCAATGCAGCTGCATTATGTGGTTCAATACCCAATGACTTGTTGAGATCATTTAAGGCATAATTATACAGTTTAAGAGTCAGACATACTTCTCCTCTCACTCTCAGTGAAGCTGCATCATCAGGTTCAATATCCAATGACTTGTTGAGATCATTTAATGCATAATCATACTGTTTAAGATGGAGAAATAATTCTCCTCTCACTCTCAATGAAGCTGCACCATCAGGTTCAATATCCAATGACTTGTTGAGATCATTTAATGCATAATCATACTGTTTAAGATTCAGAAACACTTCTCCTCTCATTCTCAATGCAGCTGCATCATGTGGTTCAATATCCAATGACTTGTTGAGATCATTTAATGCATCTTCATACTGTTTATGATGGAGAAACACTTCTCCTCTCATTCTCAATGAAGCTGCATTATGTGGTTCAATATTCAATAACTTGTTGAAATCATTTAATGCATAATTATACTGTTTAAAATGGAAAAATAGTTCTCCTCTCACTCTCAATGCAGCTGCATCATGTGGTTCAATATCCAATGATTTGCTGAGATCATTTAATGCATAATTATACTGTTTACAATGGAAAAACACTTCTCCTCTCACTCTCAATGCAGCTGCATTATGTGGTTCAATACCCAATGACTTGTTGAGATCATTTAATGCATAATTATACTGTTTAAGAGTCAGAAATACTTCTCCTCTCACTCTCAATGCAGCTACATTATGTGGTTCAATATCCAATGTCTTGTTGAGATCATTTAAGGCATAATCATACTGTTTAAGATGGAGAAATAATTCTCCTCTCACTCTCAATGAAGCTGCATCATCAGGTTCAATATCCAATGACTTGTTGAGATCATTCAATGCATAATCATACTGTTTAAGATTCAGAAACACTTCTCCTCTCATTCTCAATGCAGTTGCATCATTAGGCAATGATTTGTTGAGATCATTTAATGCATTACCATACTGTTTAAGGTTAAGAAATATTTCTCCTCTCACTCTCAATGCAACTGCATCATTAGGTTTAATATCCAATGATTTGCTGAGATCACTTAGTGCATTACCAAACTGTTTCAAGTTCAAAAACACTTCTCCCCTCATTCTCAATAGAGCTGCATTATGTGATTCAATATTCAATGACTTGTTGAGATCATTTAATGCATAATCATACTGTTTAAGATTCAGAAACGCTTCTCCCCTTAATCTCAATGCAATTAAATTCTTTGGATCAAGCTCCAATGATCTGTTGAGGTCACTTATTGCATTATCAATTTGATTGAGTATGTAGAAGACTTTTCCTCTTAAACTCAATGTATATGCATCATTTGGTTTAATATCTAATGATTGTTTCAAATTTTTGAGAGACTGCTTAAACTCTGATTGCATCATATGATATTCTCCACGACAAGTCCAAGCTCTAGCATTTTCTGGATTATTTTTGATAGCTTGAGTTACATATTCATAGGATTTTTTATAGTCTAAACTTCCCATATATGACATAGCTAGATCACATTGAATGGTTGAACTATTTGGATAATGTTCAAGTGCTCTTTTTAACCAAATGATTGCATCTTTGTATCTTTTTGCATCAAGAGCCTTTTTCCCTTGCTTATATGTAGGATGCTGACTTTTTGGTCTTTTTAATCTTTGCATAAAAGCTTTCTTTGGTTTCATTTTTAACAAGTTTAAAAACTTTGATTTTCTAATAGCAGATTCTTCAATGTCATCATTGTCAACATTTTGTTTTTCCACAATAGTTGCAAAGCCTATCATTCCATTGTAATTGCCCTTTGGTGGAATATGCCCAGCCTCAACAAATCTTTCATGCAAGGCCTTATATATTGGTGATTTTGGTAATCTTTTGGTATCACTTATATCAACCTTTATGTTACAGTAAAAGCATTTCAGCTCATTATAATTCATCTTCATAAATGTATCTAATGCCAAGAAGCTTATCTTGTGTTTGCATGGAAGTATTCTATAGTCATCTGTCACTTCTTGTGTAAAGGGGCATGTTAGATGATCAGCAACTATGTCTAAAATTAATAAATCATGTGGACTTGATTCAAGTAGTTCTTCAGAAGGCTCTTTTCCTCCTTGTTTTGACTTTGACATATTAACAGTTTCATCAGTTATCTGATTAGCTAAAATATGTTTACTGTTAAAATATTTCTTAATACCTTGAAGCCTCTCACTGATTTCTTGATTGAAAGATGTAACACTTTCAAAATCTTGGAGCAATTCATCTTGCACAAAAGAAAATATATCATGTTTAGTTTTGTGAATTGTTAGCAAGACTTCTGTTGCTTTAAACTGTATGTATTCTGTTGGAGCAATATCAAGTGTCAACCTTGCAAGATAATAACAATGAGCTAAAGTACCAGTACTTTTTGTTGAACTTACAAGATTTTGAACAATTTCCAAAATGCCATACAATAAAGCAAATGGATATGATACTGGAGCATAATAGCCTATGTGGTTTAATATTTGCTTTAAATTACACTTCAAGACATCCATCTCAGCTTCTGACTTCATAGTTGCTTTAGTCCATTCTTGATCTCCAAATTTCCATAAATCTTTTATTAATAGCAACTCCCCTTTGTCAACTAAGTCTTTATTGATAGGAACTGTTGACCATTCAACAAAAGCTTGGTAAGTACTGTATAAATATCTCCAGTCTCTGTACCAGTGATTGACAGGAAATTGAGAGTCCAAAGCCTTGTGAATCTTGTTATAAGCATCACCAGAAATAGCATCATCAATATTTGTTATAATATCATATGACCCAAGAAAATTTCCAGCCAATGTGGCAAATACAGATTTTAGTGATTTAAGAACCTTAAATAAAATAGCCTCATCATCAGCCATTGCATAAAGAGTATTGTAAAGATGTGCCAACATAAAATCAATATTATAATTTTGAACTTTGACACCCTGTTTTAAACCATTTTCAGTCTTCTGTGCATTATATGGATTGCACTTGGATGCATAATTCTTGTTAAAGCCCTCCTGTAGTGCTTTGACATGAAATTGGTGAACCTCAAACAGCTTTACAAGATGCTCATGCAAATTCTTTTGTATGTCCTTACTCATTATCATTTCAGGATCTATTCTGCCAGCCTCCAATGCTAATACATATATTCTGAGTTGTAGTTCCAGCTCTATGCTAGTAGTTGTTGTATGTATACCATATGCTGTACTGCCAGTACCTACTGTTATCAATACACTTCCCAATTGATCACCATCCAACCTGGTCTCAGCTGACAATAATAACCTATACAACTTAATCAAGTGATGCTTTCTGTCACTTTTATTATCCTTAATATTAATTGATTCTAGCAAAGCAGCCAAGTGCTCTCTTAATTGATTTGCATTCAGATTTTCATAATAGCTGTTTAGGTTTGTTTGCTCATCATTCTCAATAGCAAATAAATGATCATCATTGTCACTCTCAAAGACAATAAGATCCTCTGACTCAATCTCTGCACTTTCAAGTTGTTTACCTTTGCCTTTGACTTTAGAAAATGATGGTTGGCCAAAACTCTAATAAAAGAGATATGAAATTGTAAGACTCAGTAACCTCGGTGAAAAACATAAATTATTATTTGTATTTACAATATATATTAATCATACCATTAATGCTGAATGTTGGTTGTCCATGTCTCAACAAACGAGTAGAAAAAGTCTAAATGCTAAGAGATTTATTTATCATCTAGCTCATTCGTGTTACAAATTGCGATTCTTTTGACCGCACGTAACGTTACACTATCCTATTAGTGTGCAACAAACATTACATACGTGATATAGATTTAGTATAGTAGATTTTAGCTACGTGATTAATTCCAGGTCACGCGAGTTTCAGCTTCAGCCCCCACATACTAATTTACCCCTTCTAAATGGTTCACTAAGTTCATCGGACGGATGAACTTAGTGATCATCTTATATAAAATGACAATTTACTATTACCCAAAAACTACTAAAACGGACCAATTAGGTGTTACATAACGGAGGACACGGTATATTAATGTCGATCACTCACAAGAGCAAAACTTGTTACTACTACTCAAACATTCTTCCCAACAATGAATGCAACTCGAGCGTCGGATGTGTTTCTTGATTCTCTACCATGTAAGTACTCTTGACAAGTCAGCCCTACTTGAAGGACTATATGAAATCGCATACTCATTTTCTTTGCGATCTTTACTGACGACTGTATTAGACATTGATCAGGAGATCGAGTATGAAGGTAAAGTATACAAATTTCAATTAGTGCTTTGCATTTACCGTCTCTTAATACGCGCGGACCTTTAAAACAACCTCTTTTAATATATAAAGGAATGCGGGAAAAGGTTGACAAACTGGTTGAACAAGAAATGAAACGTACTCCACGGAGAGATTTAGCACAGTTTCCTTCCAACCTTGAATTATTTAAAGTACGTCTACTGTAAATGGCGCAAAGCAATCGCGTGTTATGGGATTTATGTTATAAGCAAGTCTTTTATATCTAATTCTATTTGTCTTGTGTGCGATCAGAATTCGCCCGTTCTCTCTTCGTATTATCAACGTATTCAACAAGGGAAAACCAAGTCAGATTTGGATACTGCACGATATACACTACCTACTCCTGCTAATACCAACGACATTGAAGAATGGAAAAAGGCTGTTGATAATTCGAAAGCACAACTCGAGCATTCTAATTTTCGGTGAGTAAAAAAATAAACCCGTACAATCATCATTATAGTAAACAACACATTGACTCGAAACATTGTCGCTTTTGAAAAAAAAGATCTGTCAATATAGCATTAATACAAAAGTACGGAGGCAATGCCTGGCGCACGCACAATTACCAATTGGAGGGCGAATTACAACGAATGCAGTTTGCACTCGAACAATATCGAACAGAAATATTAGAAGTCAACAAACAGCGTAAAGCTCAGCAATTGCAAGCAGGACGACAACTCCACGCACTAGAACAGAAATGGACCGAGTTGATTGGACATACTATACAAGTCGAAGTCGCATGTGCAACTCTGGCCAAGGAACTGGAGCAGTTGAACTTGTATGAAGAGCAACTCAAAAACGAGTTGGGCATGAGTAATTTGGAGATTAGGGGAGAAGACATTGACAATGACAACAATAAAGAAGCGGAGTGAAAAGGGAAACTTATAGAGCATAGTATAAATATAATATTGTAAATAATACGCACATACAATATGAAAACCTTTGTGAAAGTGCTATTTAAGCATCCGTTGATTTGTAATAAAGCGTCAATAGATCACTACTACTAAGAAGTATTTGTCATTCCCTTATGACTTGCTCTGTAAATCACTGGGTAAAATTCCTTTCCCTCCCCCCTTCCCCCCCACTCCCTCTCAAAATATGTCATAACAACCTTACAGCGTAATCTGTAGTGGGTCTAATCCGTTTCTTATCTCGGTGGCTGATGGGAATTTGTGGAGACGGAGCAACTCGGCGCTGTGAGATGCAATAGGATCCTTGGACATTGTCGTGACGGCAACAACTTTATCTCCTTCTGTAAAAATGAAAGGAAAACAGTGATATTGTATAGCTTATTAGCACATACTTTTTTTAATAAACCAAAAATCAACTAGTGCCTTTTATGCTCCATGAGCCATCTCATAAAGACATATGACTATACATATAGTTTGATGCGTAACTTACGTGTGTAGTAGGCTGCAAACGCGAGAGCGTCCAAGTCGCCGTGTATAATGATATCGTCAAACGAAGATGCGTAGCCAGCATATCTCAGACTCTTTCCATGTTGTGCACTCCAAAAGTAAGGTACTTTTGTGAATGGTGTGGAATTGTTATTCGTAATGTTGACTGCAGCTGCTCTGCCCGTGTTTTCTGCAAAGTTCTGTTGAATATTAACAGGCAAGTTTTAAGATTAAATTAGGTAAGAAAGATTATGTAGAAAACATTCCCATCAAAAAAACTAAAATGCCTTGTTCTTGCATATAAAAAATATATATACCCAATGTTCGACCCTTAGTAGCTCTCCAGTTATATGGTACTTGAATCGACAAATGTCACCAACCGCATAGACACTGTCAATTCCTTCGACCATCAAATGCTCGTCTACTTTAAGACTACCGTCTGGCTCGAGATTGAATCCTGGAGACGAACGAAGGAATTCCTATAGTAGGTGTACGTATTGATTATACATGGCAGTTGCTTTGTATCCTAAAAGGACTGTATTGCATTATTCGTACATACCGTCGCCGGTGCTACTCCTACTCCAACGACAACGACGTCAGCAGGTAAGACGGTGTTGTCCGATAGAACGACTGATCCTACTTTGCTCGAGTCAATTACTAACGAAAAAAAAAAGTCAGTTCAAGCCACTTGTTTTCGTTTGAAGGTTAGACATAACGATAATAAAGATTCTGCTTATAACACTTGTCATCACCTGATGGTTCAATGCTCGCCACTCCAGTATCTAAACGAAAAGTAACACCATTCTTTTCATGGAAAGCTTTCAACGCAGCTCCAACCTTTTCACCAAGATGCCTTTCGAATGGAACCTATAATGCAAAAGTTTGTTTCGAAAGTGTAATAATATACCGTTATATTTGGCAGGTCATTGATCAAGATCAAAACTCTTCAAGCAAGCCAGCAACAAGTCACGCACCTTTTCAATTCCAACAACAGTAACATTTGCTCTCTTTGCCGCAATCGATGCAACTTCCATACCAATAAAAGAAGAACCAATAATGACCACATTCTTCTTCTCGCCGGTTCCGATAGCTATTGAAAGTAATTGTGGTTATTAATGATGTAATGCAAACGAGCGGTCGAGTCGTAATTTGCTTACCTTGATCGATCTTTGTATTGTCATGCACCACACGAAGACAGAATACGTTTCCGAGATCGTTCCCGGGAATAGGGATGGATCGTGGCTTGGTAGAGAAAATTCAAGCACGATTAATGTTACAAACATTTTGTCATTTGAAGAAGCAGCAACTGTTCTTTCTATAATTACTTTTGCTCCCGTTGCGATAATCAACTTGTCGTACTTGAACACTTCATTATTTTCGACTGTAACTGTCTTCTGCTGAGGATCAACACTTGTGACGCTCTTTATAAGATATGTGCAGTTAAGTATGCGGAATAATAAATGATGCATTCCAAATTACCCAAGTCTCAGTTCAACAAAATCAATACTCACTGTATCCAGCTTGAACGTAATAGACATGTTGTCATAGAATTCAGAGTTACGAATAGCAAGTTTCTGAGGACTATTCCCAAATGACTTGCTAAGCTTTGGTCTAACAAGGACACGATGTCAGTCTACGAATTACAAATACTACATCCATACATATAGATCTTTATTAGGTAGAATACCTGTCAATAGGGAAATAATCTTCCTTTGATATAACGACGATACGTCCATTAAATCCATCTTCGCGCAGCTTCTCGGCCGCGGCGTTACCAGAAGCACCACCACCGATGATGATAACAGTGAATGCGTTGGACGCGGTAACTGTTCTTTGGCAGACGGGTGCGCGTCTACCACGGACAAGCTCCGCTTCATCTGCTTCAACGTAAACGTCATCACCTTTGATAGTGACCTAAAGTCATGAAACAAGGAAATAGTTGTTGATTCGTGTTTTACTAAACAAAATAACAGCAGTTCGCTTACGTTAAATTTGCAAAGGTTGTCAAGCGCAGGAGCATCCTCTGTTTATCAAACATGTATTAGAATGTTTTCAATCACGAAACGGGCCACCAGCAAATTATTTTTTTTTCCCTCATGCGTACCAATATCACCCGTGGTAGCATTGAAACAGGCACCATGCCATGGACTGTGTAAATTCTTGTAAGTACGTGTGTATGCAAAAACAAAAGTAACATAGCAAGAACGCTCTGAGATTGCGTGCTGGTGAAAAATTCTCACCACAAGATACGGCCATCATTCGAAAGAACTCCCGTCACAAGGCGTGCCTATTGATCAGAGACCATGAGTTCTGACGGAAAATAATCTCCAATCCGACATGGGGGGAGTTTCCCAGTTTATCAATATAATAGTTGCTTTGCTTTGACTTTGCTTAGGCTTACCCCATAGTGAGTGCACTTGTGAGAAGTGGCATAAATCTGTCCTTTGACTTTGCTCAATAGCACCTTTGCCTCACTAGGGCCGAATGCGACTTCTTTCCTGATTACAACAGATGTGATAAATTACAAGTTAACAATTATAAATGATGGATGGTCCAAGGCAACGTAGAATTGGGTAAATGCAAGGCGCGAGATAAAGGAAAGCACATGATCGGTCTCTCTCTCTCAAGCTGCAATGCATAAATAATATATAGTTCATTACGATTCACACATACATTTCACCATCTTTGATATCGGATACTTTGGCAACGGCATGTTCAACCATTGTGGTATATCTTCTTCCAATTCCAAGATTTCTTGCAATGATTGTTTGTCTTGAGAAGCGTAACAATTTAGCCAAACGCATTGGACTTGCTAAATTTAACAAGATTGGATTTAAACCGCCTTTGTGTGACATTGATAATAAAGTTTAAATTTCCGACCGAAAGGGGACGAGCTCTTTAATATAAAGTCTCATACTAATCAGTTGCGCGCGATGTCTGTTACGCTCTAATATCTCTAGTTAATTCGAGCATTGAAGACGGGAGGATTTTTCGTTTTGCTGGGCTTTATCAAATTCTGCGAGACATCACCCTTGCCAGCTACCGTGGGAAAAGCGTATCGCTAGTTCAGGGGAAGTTGGCACTTTTTCCCAATAAATCAGACTTCCCAATGGGGTAGGGCAGATATGCGCTTCCTGACTTTATTGCAATTTGCATTTAGACAATAATAATTTATCAACAAAGGATTATCAATAATCGTTTTGATGATGATATACTATACAGTGAGAAAAGTCTGCTTCATTACGGACCACTATTGTCATTACAAGAAAGACCACTTAATTTTATAAATCCTACATTCGATGGTAATGGTGTTAACTGTGTTTGAGTTGTCTTGGAGTTTTGCATTCCTTTATTAGTTGCACCATTTGAGTTGTCTTGGCGTCAATCAGCTTTCCAGCTATTTACGCGTCTTTATCCCAATCACGTGTAGTGCAGTAGACTTGGCATGACAAATGAATAATGAAACAAGAAAGCAGACAGGAAATAAGCGATCACGAAAGGACTCTGCTTCTAAATTTGGTACTGTGCATATTATAATTGTGTCAACGTTGTCATGTCCTAGGGAAAGTATGTTAATATAGATTCTTTTGAGGACGCATTGATCACGCAAAGTTTGCCGCTGCTACTCTAGCACGTTTAGTGCAACTCGCTCAATTGTTTAATTTACTGGATAACTTGCAGTCAACGCATTCAATCCAGTGTAACATCTTGTTCAATATGATAGTAGTCAGAATTGCTTTAGATAATATACAAGTTGTATTTGATAAATAATCATATAGCAAACTCTATTTTTGAATTAAATATATGGCGTTATTGTAATTATGAGTGTTACAAGCAATAAGTCGATGATATACAGCGCTTTACAATTTCCCCCGTCTCGCTTTCGCGGTAAAAAATCCTTACGCTGTGAAACGATTAACCAAGCATCGATCAAAAGAAGCAACTCAGAACAACATAAGGTAATACTGTCACGCGGCAATTTTGTAATAGACAAAAGCCAGAAATAATAAAATGCTACAAGCTAAGTTTGATTAAACGTCAAGCCAAGGTTATTATAGAAAACTTTTTTTGATACAATAGAATAGTTTAAATCGTGGTAAGACTCTATTTCTAGCTACACACTTGATGTTCTCTACTAAAGTTTTTGGTATGTATGAGTAGCCAGTAATATATTGATGGAAAGACACATTATTAACACTATATTTAAGCGAAGCCTTAGTCTAGTATAGGAGGAACTCCTGAATAGTACTGACACAACGTTTAAAAACGCGTGTTTAAAATTTGCGTAAAGTTTTAATAACCATACGCCACTTTTTGTTCACAGGTAGCGTGAGCGGTAATATAAAACAGGTAAAGTTTTTCTATAAAAGAGCACATACCACGTATATGGAAATAAGCAATCAATATTAATGAGGTAAATCACGACATATAGATGGCACAATGGGTGCAGAATTAGCGTATCCTAGAAGATAATTTACAAACAAAGAGATAGAAATAAATTGTATTAATAGAGTAAAATTATTCTTGATTTGCGGTCAATTTATGCAATAACAAAGTCCGTGGAGAGGGACTCAGCGAAAGTGGAAAACAAAAGTGATGGAGATAAACAAACGCGTTGATAACTTTTAAGGGTAAATATAATGGTTGTCTATCAAATTATGCAACATAAGAGTGGCTATAATAAGCAAATGTGCTAACAACTTTTAATACCGAAGACAACTCTGATCATGATACTGATACTTACTGTAAGATTACGTGTCGTTATATATAATCCATTCAAATTAAACTGAGAATATTAAAATGCAAATATAAAAAAAGGATATTTGTAATTCCTTTGACGTATTAAGTAATAAGAAAACTAGTAATACGTTTAATTGATTTGTATTAGATATTTGTATAACGAGATTGTCACCACCATTATTTTTGGGACTGCACGTCAATAAACTCGTAAATAACCGTATCTGAAGCTGAAGTTCTTAACCTTTATTGACACGGCTAGTTTTTTATCTTGAATTATTTGTTTCGCCCTAACACTAGATTCTTTAATTGAAGACAATAACTCTGGCGTTTGTGATCATAACTTTACTCCGCAGCAATCACATTATGTGTCAATCAAACAAACGCGAAAATTCCCGACGCAACATCACGACACATTGAAACACGTTAAATGTAGGATAGAACAATAAATATACAAAGCTTCACCGACTTTAGAAAGAACAACATTAAAGCAGAATACTTGAATACTTGTATAATTTGTGGAACATCTAATCCTTATATATTGTGACTAAAGTGAAAGACTGACATAATCTATTAAATGTCAGTTTTATTGCTATTGAACTGTTTAGTTTAGCATATCTTCCCTAAAAGCAGTTTGCATGCCAAGCATTAAAGGTGTTACATGATCCATATTGAAATTTCTCCCATCAGGATAGGTGTCAGTGTGTGTAATCTAAAAACACTGTCAGCAAGGGCGTAATGTTACGTGAGCTGGTAAACTTTATCACAAACATTAGGGATAAAAATCTATTTATTAGTAGGAAAGAATATTAGCATTGGAGCTAGTTTTTCAAGTGTCATATATCATTGTTCTCCCAGACTAGACGAACTGACATTACGCGTTCTCGTTTTGTCGATTACTTATTACTCTCTTCTTTGTATGCAGGAGTACACGTTGACATGGATGTTACTTTGTCTTTTGTGTGTGAACGTTTTTTGAAACTTGATTACTATCTTTGTTATTATTGGTTGCAATGAGCAACCAAAGTATAGCAGAAACAAGAAAATACTTACAATCCTAGTAAAATGTATTGAAAGAAGACAATACAATATGGTATGGAAGTTTTAGGTCTTTATTGAAAGATTGAGATTGCACAAAGTTTTCACAGTTTTAACGTACTTCATATCAAATAACTTTATTTATTCAAGTGAATGTTATATTCTTTATTTGACAAGATGACAAAATAAATGGTCATTACTAACCATACAAATTTATGAAGAAAAAGAAATTGTTCAACAAACGTAATACTAAACTTAGAGAAACATTCGAGTAAACTACATCAGTAAGAAAAACTATACTAAATGTCTATATACAATTATCTATGCAGATTAAAAAATATATTACCTTCAGTACAGACTATTTGCTTCCGATACTTGCGTTGCAATAGAATCCAGTCACTTTTGTGTAGCCAGCCAGTATAGTTAAACGCAATTTGTTGTAACTTTGGTAAATCGACTTGGCGGATTGATTTCAGCCCTCCTTCCGCAAACATCTCGCACCATCTTATATCGATGCTTGTCAATCGATGAAACTTGATCGGTTCTAGTGCGATGTTTGAATTGTCCGAACCAAAGCTAATGTTTCTCAAAACAATCGATTCCAGAGAATTCGACTGTGACTCTAACAATCGAAACACTGATCTCATCTTGGTGGACATGCTCTTTATAGTAATTGTCTTTAGTTGATGTTGAGACTGTATGAGTTTTTCCAACCCGCGATGCAACGATTCTTCGAGGTTATAATTCCCGTCCTTGCCTTTGACTGAAATCGATTCCACGTTATGTGCTGTCCTGGCAAGTGTGTTGAATATGCTATTATTCATATCTAAAGATACACTTAAAGTTTGCAAACGGGGGAGGAGGCTTTTTATAGAAACTAGAAATGGACTCTTATCCATAGGATAAAACGTAAGAGAAAGAGTTCTGAGGTTTGGGCAATATTTAACTGCCAAGCGAATGAGTCTAACTCGCGTATTGTATGAATTAAACCTAGTGCCCCTCGTTGTTGTCAAAGTTTGGATCTCTTTAAAACGTATCTCTTTTAAGTAAAGACTATAATCAAATGGGAACTTTTTACGATATTTTTTGCGCAGTCGCAATGCATTTTCGAGAGAGTTAATGTCTGTAAAACATTCTACAAATGTTGTTATAAGGTTTTCTATTGATTGAACAATTTCTCCCCTCGGGCTCGAAAGTAAAAAAGTAAAAGGCTTAGCCCATAAATATTGAAGAGCCACAGTGCACCAACTTCTGTTAACTAAAATAAAGGAGTGAAGCATGGCGGGATCCTCTGCATAGTCGTCAAAAATCAAAGTAAGAATTTCACAGGGTAGGGATACCATGCTTCACGCTTGACAGGAAAAAAAAAACGATGTGGGGGACGGCAGCTTTTTATGACAATTACATTCGATTCGACACAGACTACACACTTACCAACAATGGTAAAGTTTCACGTTCAAAAACTTTGCAGATCTTTTATTGTGTTACTGTAACACATCACGAACATTATTGTTAGTCGCGCATTACTTTCGGTTAGCCAATAGTTCAAATGCAATAACTTATCCAACTACAAAATATCGTTAGTATGTACATCTAATGGATTAGTACACTCTTTTTAGGAGCAGGGTTGATTTTTTTAAAGGCGAGATTGTGTTAATAAAAAATTGGTTGTACAGTCTACAGTCACATATACAGTCGCACCTCCTATACATGCTGTTTCGGTCCTTGCCATATGTGAGTCGCTGTACTGTCACCCGATTTTAAAATCCCCACCAATATGAAATACAGTCACTGGCATTATGTAACATTCAAGATTTAGTGTTTATATTTCCATATTCAGCGTAAAGTGACCGAAAGATTGAAAGTTATTATTATGCATGTATAATTACATGATTGTTGCTTTAAAAATCATCACACATTAATTCTCCTCATATAATAAATGTGAAAT